TGAAATTGCAGAAATAAAAACAAATGCAGGAGAAATGCACAGAGGATAATATTTATACATGTCGAAAGTGACAACAAAGGAGTGGTGAAAGGAAAAAAAGAATTCAATAAATGTCAATTATCTGCTAAATATGGAAGATACAAATGTAATATGATGTCAAAATATGAAAGTAAAAACAGAAAAATCCCTTAGTTAAACAGAAAAAAAAGAAATGTGGGAAGAAATTGCGATTTATGCCTGGAGGGAAAATCTACAGATTATAGAATTTAAAAGCAACAATAATTTGATAAATAAAAGGAATTATTTCTAACAATTGGCATTCCTTATAAAAAATGTGAAAAGAATAGTAAATGTCAATGACACTGTTAAAGAACAGTTACTAATTTTGAAAATTGCTAAGGAAAACGGCACTGTAAATGGGGGGAAAATAAAATAATTTTTTATTTTTATTTTATTTTTTTTTTTTTGTTGAAAACCTCTTAAAGGAATTTGAGGACACAGCACTTTTATATATGTAAGAAAACACACACACACACACACACAGAGTAATGAACATACTTTATTTTAGAACTTAAAACAACTAAGTTCAAAGTAAATTTGATAGAATGATTGAGAGACTTTAAGAATTGGGATGCAAATAGTCTGAAACTTTTTCTTATTCAGTTTGGCATATTTTCAGAATGAGCATGAAAAAATGGTGATTAGCCCCAAGAAATATTATTATCTTGTACAAATGTTACTGGGGAATTAATTTATTTAACCCGATCATCAATACTGACAGGCTTGCAAATAGAAACTCTTTGTGTATTAAAGAAATTGCATAACATCTTCAGTCAGATTGCATTTAAAGTATTTTTTAATATTGTTTTACTGATAAATGTTTATTTTTTTTTATATATTTTAGGAAGATGATCCTACAAATGCAGAAGACTGTGAAAAGAAAATTGAAAAATTACAGCGAGTAAGTTTTTTTGTTGTCGTATTCTATCCAGATGAATCATTTGGTAATGAATTTATTACTTTAAATTTTTGAAGTAAATTGAAAGTAAACAACATAGACGTTAGAAATTATCTTTTTATGCCATAAGAATAAATGTATCTGTAAATCTCAAAAGTCCATTTGGTAATTTTACTTTTATCTGTATATCTTTATCTATACTATAATAACAACCAGTCAAAAAATATTTTTCTATTTATTTTAATTTTTATTTTAATTGAAAAAATAATCCTTGATGTCTGGTTAGAACATTAATTCAACTCACACAATTGATTTTTTTTTTCATTTTTTAATATTACTTAAGATTTGATATTAATGTATATTATTTATCTGAGCCAGAATACTAATATTTTTCAATTAACTTTAGAATCAATAAAAATCTCTTTCAAGTCTTCCTTCCTCCATTCCAATTTATTGTTCTCTCAGTGTCCATTATAAATTTGATATTTTATTGTTCTTATAGCAACACAGCCAATATAGGGATAAGGTGTTTGAATCATCATATAAACTGCGAGCAGTTTCTTTTGGCCAAGATCGTTATAAAAGAAGGTATTGGCTGTTACCGTATTGTGGTAGGTTGGTTTTGGAAGGTTTGGAATCTGGAGCAATGGACAGTGAAGATGAAGAAGACACTGATGAAGAGGAGGAGAATGGCAATGAGGCTGATGATGATGACGAGGAGGAGGAGGAGGAGGTGGAGGAGGATGAAGAGGTGGAAGAGACCAAATCTCCACCAGAAAACGAATACGTTAAAGACAGTATTAAGAAAGAAGTAAAGAGTGAAGGAGAGGATGAAGATACGGGAATGGAGCCGCCAATAAAGAATAGCACTCCAGTGAAACAAGATTCTTCAAAGCAGAAAAATGGCAAAACAGGACCTGCAAAAAGTGTCAGTCCTATTATTAAAGAAGAAAGTCCAACTAATTTATTTCTACAAAAACCAGAGACTACAAAATTCAGTGACTTAATCCATATATCGAAATCTGAAGGTTCATCATCACCAAAAGCAAAGAGCCCTATTGTATATAACTCTCATAATGCCCCATCACAGCATGTCCCTTCATCATCATCATCTGTAAATAGTTCATCTGTAAAGAATTCCTCCATATCAACTAACTCTGATACCAAATCTAGTTTCATCAGCATTGATTCCATTTTAAAGAAAGACTATGAACCAAACAGTCAAACATTACCATTTCTGCCATCAATGGCCACATATCCTGTAGCACCACTCTTTGCTGATCAGCTTCTTAAAGCAACCGAAATCAATGAACAGAAGCCATGGTTCAGCATCCTTCCTAGAATGCCATGCGATGAGACCTCTTTGACTCGATCGCCCTTGAACATATCACATCGGATGCTGAACAATTCCCCGTTCCTCTTTCATCATCCATTGCCATTCCATGCCTTTCCAGTGCGTAGCCCAACGTTTGCATCATTCCAAATGGGCCAGATCCAGGGGAACCCTGTGGATCTGAACCTCAGCACCTTGGGGAACAATACAAATAATTCAAATTCATTTTTTAAAGTGCCGCCTGTCCCCCAGGAAATCTCTTCTCGCTCTTCCACTCCATCTGCATCATTGAGCAACACTATTACTAATGCAATTAATACAACTTCCTTGACATCCAATGGATCTGCCAACATGGATTTGATGATGGATCCTGACCCAGAAGGTTTACTGAAGAGTCTTCAAGGTGAACTCAAACCTATACCAAAAGGTAAGTGGGTTCATTTTAGATATTCTTTAGAACCTCTACAACTGTAGAAATTATTTTTCATAGAAAAGAGATTAACATTTAAATTCCTCCACAATGTTTTTGTTAGCACAATGTGATTTTTTGTTTACAATGCTGTTCATTCTGTACAAGGCCCACAGAGTAAGGGGCACAGTTTATAGAGATTTGTGGGGAAGATAATGGTTAACTCTAGACTTGAACAGGTTTAGATTGTAGTACTTGGCAAAGCATCCTCTTGGGAGTCGATTCCACAAAGCAGTGGTCCAGGGGAAGAAGTTATGCAAGTGGAAATTACATCTCACCAAATGGAATACAAAGGGAAGGGTGGCTAGTTTCTTACATTGTGTGTGGTATGGCAAATCTTAGCTGTGAAGATTAGAACTGGTGGAACTAAGGTAAGTATTTTATCTGAACATTTTCCATGGGAATAGCAATAGAGCAGTGAGAGGTTTGGTGACATTTCCTCTTTGGGAAAAGGAATTGCAGCATGAAAAATAATTCATCACCCACAAATAAAAAGTGAAAAAATAATTAGAAATTCTCTACAAACAGGCAGCAATTATGAATTTTGGAGAAAGATTTGAATATATCAGTGTTTTAAATATATGATTGATTTATTCTAGATTCTACATCCATATTTTGTTATTAACTATCAATATTATCACTGATTTCATGCAGTTGTCAGCAAATAACTTATTTTTTATGTTAAATTCAGGATGTCTGTTTCTTTAGGTTTATACATATTTTGCATGGATGTTTTTATTTTAACCGAAAACCAAATTTCTATCAAAATATTGATTAGTACTATCAATTTTATTTTTATCTTTTAAAGTTTATTTTTCATTGTTTTCAGCAATGAGAACAGGATGGTGGCACATTGCCGATATTGAACACCTAAAAGGCGTGCTAAAGTGCCTTCATCCTCGAGGAATACGTGAGAGGAACCTTCAGAAGTCTTTGCAGAAATATTTTGACCTTGTGTGTCAGGCTTGCACCAAAGATGTCAAGGATGGTTAGTAAAGATTTTTTTTTTTTTTTTACTATGTCTTTTATTTAGAAATTTTACTCTCAAATATTTTGTTAGTCTGAATCGACTAACAAAATATTTTTATGTCAGTCTACCTAACATAAAAAAATGTCTTTCGCTAGGTCAGGTAATCTTGATTGAGATTGCATTTGTCTTGTGGATGATCTTGGCTTTCCTATTCTTATTTTGATTAATGAATGAATGAATGCTATGAAATTGTTTTGGTGGCCAATGTACTAATGAATATACATTACATTTTTAGAACAATTTCAGGTGAATATACAGATAAACTGTAAAATGGACAAAAACTATATTTTCTTTAGTAATAAAATATTGATTTCATGAATTCTATTAATTGGTCTATAGAATTATCCAACTCTTATGCATAACTTCACTCAATTTTCACATTTATTTGCTTTACACTTTTGCTTAAGCAATTCTCACTTAAGACAGAAAATTAACTTGGGTCTTTTGAAAAATGTACATAATACAAAGTTTGATTGTAGATATCTAAAAATGTGCTGTCAAATGAACTAATTTTTTTTCTTGATTTCATAACCAAAAGATTAAAATAATTAAAGTTCCTAATTGTCATAATAGAAAAAATTTTAAGTGTAACTATAAATTGTTTTCTTATTGATACTGTTGATATTCAATAAGATGATAGCTTATTACAATATATCATTGTCATCACATATGTAGTTATCTAAGTTAAGAAATTATCAGGTGATAAATTTAAAAGTTTTTAAAGAAATCCAGTCTCAAAGAGTGTGTGAGAAATTCAGGGTTCAGTTAATCAAATTTTTCAGTTCTTTTAAATTATAAAAAAAAAAAAAAAACAATTTTACAATTCATTGTAGTAGGCATTCATTTATCATGTGAAATATTTGGTAGTTTTCTGTCAAAATTCAGTCCTTTGGTAGTGAGATTGCAGTGACCTTCCCAGGATGCAGACCTGAGCTGTGTGCAATCCAAATCGCACACCAATCTCCTCTTGGCAGTACTGGCAAGTTCCAAATACAGGGCATTACATTTGGCACCAACTTGTTTTGCAGGGGTTGCCAGAAGAGTTTGTCAGGTGTTAACAGCCAATCACCTACACTCTGGAGTTTCTGTCTGGATTTATTTCCATAGCCTGCACTTTTTGTTTAGATATGGCCACAAGGCAGCAGTTTAAAATCAAAGATTTTCTTGCTTTTGGATGGACTGTTTTCTATCTATCCATTGCAGCTGGTTATGAGATTTCAACCCTTCTCTACCTTGGAGTTGGACTGAATTGTACAAGGTTAATTATGATGTGTCCCCAAAACCATTCCAGCTATGACTACCTTTGGAATATATATATATATATATATATATATTAAAAAATAATACTTGGACTGATCTAAATGTGAATTAAGTTTAAGCTTCTATTGATTTTTTCTTTTTCTTTCAGATTTATCAACTTAAGTCTTTGCTAATTTCAACTTTAGGAAGATTAACAATCAAACAACATGTTAAAGTTTCAAGAGTGATATAGGAAAAATTTTTCCTAAATTCAAACAAACTGTGTCAGTGGCAGATGTGAAAACAGCATTGTGTGCTTGTTTACACTGTTCAGCTGAAAACATTGCAGCAGTGCACAAGAATGTGGCCGAAAATCCAGACATCTCTATTCATCATTGCATGCAGGAATTAGAAACTCCCCACAACAATATTACATAATTTCCAATTGCATGCTCAGTTGGTCAATGGTGTTGACCAAAAAAATAGTGAAGTGTGCAAAATTCATTTCTGTTTGAATGTCCATTTTCATATTAGGCTTCAATAATTTTAACATGTTGTTTTATTGTTAATATTTCCATGGTGGAAATTGACAAAGATAAATCTGAAAGTTTAAATCTAAAAGAAAAAGAAAAAAAATTATTAGACACTTAAATTTAATTTACATTTAAAATTGGTCCAAGTTATTGGACCAATTTATTTATTTATCTAATATATATTTATGTGGGTTGATGTGAGTTTGTGACCCTGGGTTTCAGACTATTTACATATTTTAGAAGCTCAAAAATTAACATTTAAAAAAATATATATATATTGTTAGATAAATGTGATTGTCGTGAGCAAGATACATGACATCATGCCCGAAAATGCCCATGCATTACATGCATATGGTGTCACAGAGCAGTTGGAGGAAGGGGTAATTGGCAGAGTGCACCTACACATATGTAAAACTCTCTCACTCAACCAATCGGCTGCTTCGTCATAAAATGAGTGTGTCTGAAGGCTTTGGCAGTGGGAGCTGAGGGAGCTGTATGAGCAGGTCCTTTTTGGCGTGATGGCTACAAGCTATTTCGGTGATTATGGCTTTTAATCCTAAACTGATACCGGTATTTGATGTAAGTGATTCTGGACAGTCAGTTATCAAGTGGATAGAGAAGGCAGAATTGATATGCCAGCTTAGCAGCGTAAAGCATATCGAATGTGTGCTTCCTATGCACCTATTTGGTGGTGCATATGCAGTGTACCAACAGCTTAGCGAAGAAAAGAAGAAAGACTTTTACCTGCATCAAAAATGCTTTGTATATGGCATTTGCTTTGGACTCTGTTACAGCTTGGAAGCAATTTGTAGCATGCCACTTGTGCCCAGGTGAGACTGTCAATGTCTTTTTGCCCGAATTGCATAAACTTTCAGTTCTGGTTGCTGGTATGATGGATAGAAGTCTGATGTGTGTGTGTGTTTATCGCCGGGTTGCCAGAGCATGCTGAGGAATTGCTCTGAGACGATATGGACATTTCACAGGTGTTAGCTCGAGCACGCGCCATATTGAAGAAAAGTCCTGCAGATATTGAGCAAATAGTGGTAGTTGCACAATCATCGCATTGTCAGGCAAAGGAAGTTGATGGACCAACAAAATGCTATGTTTGCGGTGTCCCCAATCACTTGGCACACGACTGTATTGTACGGCATGAAACATCAAGGAAAGAGAATGCTGGACCCGGTCTTGTGCTATTGGTGTAAGCGGCGGGGACATATGGCCTGAAACTGTCTGGGAAATGGGCAGGGGGACTAGTCTTCGGCCCCAGCCTTATCCCCAGATCCTCTTTAGATAGAGTGCTATCTACAATGCCTGTACAGATCGATGGAATGAGATGCATAGCTCTTGTGGACACTGGTTGCACCCAAACACACATACGCAAAGCATGCTGCCAGGTGTGAGAGAGAAAGGAGGTACATGTCCTGACTGTAGGTGGGAATACCCTTAGGTGCTGTGGAGTCTGGGTGGTATGGCTTGGCATAAGCAACAGACCCTCTATTGACTTAGCTCTGGTCTTGGATGAGGAATTACTCAGATTTGACTTGTTACTTGGTCTAGACGCAATCAAACAGCTGGGTGGGATGTCCATGAATAACACCGGTGAGGAAAATTTCCCCAATGTCACAAGCCAATCTACACTGCCATCACTGTCAACGAGCCCAATTTCCAAGCAGTTTTTGGTGCTAACAGATGGATATGGATCACATCATGGAAGTGTTCTGGTGCCCAGCTGCCAGTTATGTTAAAAAACAAGCTGTCAGAAGAAGGATATCCTACTTCTGAGCACCTTCGGGCTGAGTACAACCAAGAGCTGCAAACTTGGATACAAAATGGCTGGCTGCTTCCATACCCTGAAGATAAGTTTGGGTTTGATTCCTCTAATGGCCATCCTACAGGAAAACAAACAAAAGTTTTGGCCTGTCACTACTGCGAGCTCAACAAGCATGTAGATGCATACACTGCCAGCGCAGATGTAGGCACACACAAATTAAGAGAGTGGTGGCAGCAAGGTTCAGACGTCGCTGTGTTGGACTTGCACCGGGCCTATTTGAAAGTTCACGTTGAGAAGTCCTTGTGGCCATTCCAGACAAGGGGAAAAGATACTGCCTCACTTGCTTGGGGTTTGGGCTTAACGTGGCACCATCGTTAACACCGTGGTTGCACAAGGTGAGAACATCAATGAAGCTACATCTTCATACATTGACAATGTATTCGTCAATGAAAACATATGTCCTGCATCCCATGTAAAAGAGCACCTTGAGAGGTTTGGGCTTACATGCAAGGTCCCAGAGCAGTTATGGAGTGACACATGCGTGTTAGGATTGCACGTCTGGAAGGAGCACAACAAGCTTCAGTGGAGTCGTGGAAGTAAGCTGCCGACGTTGCCCGATGTACTAACATGTCGAAATATTTTCTCTGTTTGTGGGAAATTGACGGGACATTTTCCAGTGTGCAGCTGGCTACATGTTGCAACCACGTTCATAAAGCGTGGAGTAAATGCCGTGACAACTGGATGGGATGATAAAGTGCGAGACCCCCTCCTGAGCCATATGTTGGCAGACGTTTTTGCCAGAGTGGTGCAAACAGATCCAGTGCATGGGGACTAGTGCGTTGATGGGTAGGATGTCACTGTCTGGATGAACGCGAGCTCATTAGCCACTGGTGTCGTCATTGAGAGTGGTGGAGCTGTGACTGAAGATGCTAGTTGGCTGCAACTAATGAGTGAGGATAAGCACATCAACTTGGCAAAACCGGCACAGTGCTGCGGGCCATCAACCTCACACTGCAGTGGAAAGCAAAGGTGATTCATCTGAAGACACTCGGCGTGCGTGCGTGCATTGCTGGGTCTCAGACACGTTGTCCAGAAAGTCGAGCATACGAACCAAGGCTGTCACCGAGATGCTGGTTAGGCACCGGCTCGGCATGCTACAACATCTGGCTTCAGAATATGAGCTTAAGGTTGACGTGGCATTGGTTAAGTCTCATGATAACTGGGCCAATCAGCTCACTAGAGTGCCGCAGCGATAGCGGGATGATATTCAGAAAGAGACTGAACCTGTAGAACGAGTGTGTGTTGTGCTGCAGAAGGCAAGGAGTCTGCTCGTATATGAGCGATTCATAAGTCTAGTGGACACCCCGGTGTGAAGCACACACTGTACTTTGCAAAATTGGTCATCCCTGGAGTTTCCAGAGCAGTTGTTCAGGCGTTAGTCAGGGATTGTAGGGATTGTCAATCCATAGATCCTGCTCCGGTGCATTGGAAGCCAGGCAGGCTCTGTACGCAACAATTGGAGCAGAGTGTGAATAGATGTGACCCAATTCAGAGGCTAGCACTACCTAATGCTGATAGACTGTGGTCCTCGTTGGTTTGCTTTTTGGAGGCCATTATAGTTATACAAAGTTGATATTTCTCTGTGATATATATATATATATATATATATATATATATATATATATATAAATTATGCATATGGTTTTTACGTTTGCTTGTTCAAATATAGCTACATCAATATTTCTGTAGCACCTTCATGATTGCTAAATTTAAACAAATAGAGAACTGTCCAAGAATAAACAAGAAAAAGAAAAGAACAGGACAAAAAAATAATATAAAACAACCAAACAATATATGCAAGGCAAATTAACAAAGCAAAGCAAAAAGTAATATGACACACAAAAGCTAGTTTGGACAAGTGAACATAGCATTCTGACTTCAAGGCAAGACAGACTGGGACTGAGTCAGTTGAGACCAAGAAAAAATCCCTGCATGTTTTTGTGTGGTTTTTCTTATAACTCGGAGAGGGGAAAGTATTTTGCAGTCATTCCCCCAAGGATTGGAACAAACATGCATTTTGCATAAGAAATATTTATTTATCAGTATAATCTCACTTCTTCTTGTCAATGCACTTAACTAGATGCTTCTCTATTCCATCTGTAGATAGAATGTTAAGTGGTGAAAATTTTAGATTGAATTCAACTTCTATATTGGTCTACAGGCTTATTGATCCATCCTTTTGTATGTTTGTCCATATATATATATATATATATATATATATATATACATACCTACTAAGGTTTCATCTAAGCGGATCGTCAGGGAAAGCTGGCTCCAGCTTTCCCTGACGATCTGCTTAGGTGAAACCTTGGTAGGTTTGTCTGGCTCTAGGTTTGACTAGCTCTGCTCTACTTTTATATTGAGCACTTTTTTAGTTAGTTGATTACTTGTATCAGGGTCTTTTTCTTTGGGCTTTGGGCCTGTATGCTGTATGATTATTTTCGACAGACGTTCATGTTCCTAGCTCTTTCTTTTTTTTAAAACCATTTTTTCCTTCGAAATTGATTTGATCATTAGCAAATCAAGAAATTGAAGGTTTTCCGAGACGAGTGTAGTTACCTATATATATATATATATATATATATTTAATGATTTCTTTAATGTTACATTATTTCTTATTACTATAAGCATTACATTTAGTGGGTATGCATGTTTGAATTGACATCCCAAATATTTTAGATGCTGAAATTGTCAGCTAACCTAGATATTGAGAAGTCTTAAAGAAAAGTTTGTTCCCCTACAGGAATTAACCTGTGATAACCTGCATATCACGTAGGCCACCACCAAAAACCATAGGTAATTGATCCTTGCTTTATCATGGTGGTTTCCTGTGGCCTAATTGCTAGAGCACACTGGCCCAATGTTATTTTTTCATGAGGGAGAAAAGAAAATCCATACTGGTTAGATTGTACCTCATAAATATGTTTTTAGTAATAAAAAAATATATATATACCAAACATGATTTCCTTTTTATTTTGATAATTTTGTATAAATAATATTTGTACTTTTTACTTTTGAAAATAAGTTATGTGTCCTTAATAGTGAAACTGCCATTCAATACAAGATAAGTTTTTACTGAACATACTCATAATTCAATGCAAATAACTCTCATAATCCCTTTTTGTCTGCTTTCTTCCTGTTTTACCAACTTTTGTGTGGTCTTGGCTTCCTTCTACTATTTCTATTCACTCTTCTCTCTTGTGTCATCGTCCAAATCAAGTAGAATACAATATTCAGTTTTCTCTTTTTCAGAATTTAAATTAAAAGAAAGAGAAGAATTTCGGTTTGTGTCAACAACTGGAGCCCCCCAACCTGATAGTAATTTGAACTTTGTCTCTGATGTGGTACATCGGGTAGAAAATGAAATCTTAGAAGAGATTATGAAACTTGAAGAACGGGTGTATTCTGCAAGTTTGCAAGTGAAAATACGTGATCGACAGGATGATCAACAGGCCAATGCATCTTCCAAGGTAAGAAATATTTTAGAGATTAATTTAAAATGTACATACATCCATCTGCACATAAAATCTATTTAGCTTTATAAGCAAATAATCTATTTCAAATATTTAATACATTTTAATATTTCTAAGCTGTAATAGGAAAATATATTTTGAAAAGAATATTTTAAGTTGGATTGCAATAACCACTGAGAAAGCAATTGAGAAAATATTGTACAAGACAAATATCACTTTAACAAGTTTTCAAAAAGCTTTATTATAATGGTATGAATTGAGAAATGATCAGATGGAATGGTGTGATAATAATGGAAATGATAAGAATATAGATGTCTATTTCCATTAAATTTTTATGGCTCTTTTTTTTTTTTTTTTTTTTTTGTAGTGAATATTATTGTCTTGATTCTTAATCAAGGAACTTATGTGTTGATGTGCAGCAAAAAGAGATTTTGTCCATTTTCTTGTGATAAAATAGGGTTGCTTTCTTCGCTCTTTATTATTTATATCTATCCATATTTCTGAGATGAGGTATTATAACTATTTGGACTATTTCCATTGTTCAGACTACTGTCCTCATCTTTGTCATATTCATGATTTAGCCATTGTACTTGAATTGAGTTACTAAAGGGGGATAACTGAAACTGAACTATTCAGAAAAGACCTGGCACATGGATCTCGAACAATCTACCCCTGTGGACGAAATAAGGGTTTGGTTTAAAATTCCAATGTATATCCCCTGAAAAAGGCTGGAGTTGTACGATGTGAGAAACATTGTGAATATGACAATAATTAAAACAATGTAAATAGTGTAAATTTTTATCATCTGTTTCAATGGATATAGATGCAGTTATAAAATAAAAATTGAATCTTTCATACCATTCATTAAAGTTTGTTCAATTTTTAAATTTTTTTGTCAGTGTTATGTTGTCTATTTCTCTCTGAGTAGTATCAATCATAGCACAGTTCTCCACGTTATGTTAAGCAAACAGGTTCGCTGATGATTGCCTTGTTCACTCTCTGCTCTCTATTTATGTTGTCATTTTCATTTGCATATGATACTACACCTCCCTGAACCGAAAAGGCCAGACACCCTTGTTTCTTCTACTATTATTTCTGATTACTCTCATTCTGTGCTTTCCTTCCTCTTTTCTTTCTTTTTCTTAATGGTGATCTTGGTTTTCTAGATTTTTCTTCTTCACTCTCGTCTGTCTTTTCATTCTCACTTTCTTCCATTTTCTGCTTTGTTCCACTTTTGTAACTTTCTGTCTCTTCTTGTTCTTGATCTTCCATGTCACCCAATTCATTTCTGCTTCTGAACTGATCTTTTTCTCAAGTATCACTGTGTTGTGTTTTTTTTTGTATCTAGAAATTTTCTTCTAGATCAGCCTCTTTATTCTTTCTATACTCTACTTTTTCTTTCATTGAAAAGGACATAGTTATGGGGGCTCTGATTAATGCCTGCATGTGAAATGGATCTGTAACTGAGAAGCACTTTCAGTAAATATGATTCTAGGCTTTCATTAAGTGGTGAGAATGATTTTAATCCCATTTTTACCATTTGTACCATTCTTTCCATAATGCCATTAGATTGTGGATGATACAGTGGTGTCTTTTATGGGATACATCCTATCTGTTTCAACCATGCACATAAATTCTCATCACAAAATTCAGGTGCATTGTCAGTGACTCGTGTCTGGGGTACTCCATTCCTTGAGAATATCGCTCTTAGTAATTGCTTTATTGTGGTGACTTTTTTGTCTTTTACTCTGACAACCTCAGTATTTTCTTTACTGTTTCAAAAGCTATAGTTTGCTCTTGTGTCCAGTTAAATTCATTATTTTTCTTGTGTAATTTTGCAATTACGTTGCTGTATCTTGGAATGTATTTACTATAAAAATATATCAGCCCCCCAAAAAAACTCCTTTTTATTTGTTGGAGGAGCTATTTCTGTTATTTTCTTTGTTAATCTCTCGTCAGGTGATATGCTTTCTTTCAATATTTGATATCCTAAATATGATATCTTCTTGTAGTCAAAACTACATTTATCTTTGTTTATAGTCATACCTGCCTTGTTCAACCTCACTAAAATTTGCTTTGTTTTATATTTCAATTTTCTCTGGTTCTTGCTCTACACATATATCATCCTGGTAAATTATCATATTTTTTATTTTTTCCTAATAAGACTCTTTCAATCACTTTCTGAAAAACATGACTCAACGTCTTTACCCCAAACGGTAGACGCATCCACCCTAGCAAGCCTGTAGGGGTGTTTATCGTAGTTACTTCCTTAAATTTTTCATCAATTTCTATTTGGTTGTATGTTGCCTTGAGATCAATTTTTGCAAGGTGTTCCATTTTTGCTAGCTCACATTTTCAATATTTGGCAACAGAAAAGTCCTAACATATTTGTTGATTTACCCCTATTTTGTAATCACCACAAATCCATAAATCTCCGTCAGATTTCTTTATCGCTACTATTGGTGACGTCCAATTGCTACCACCTTCAGTCACACTTTCTAGTATGCCTTGTATCATTTTGTTTAACTTGGCTACCACAAAGGTAGGATATGAATTGGAACTTGTCTAAACTCTATATATTTTGGGTGATAATTCTCTTTGAGTACTTGCTTTATAGCCTTTTAACACTCCAATTTCATTTTGTGCTTCCATGGAATTGATTAATTTTTCGTATCCCCATTTAACACATCAATTCCTAGTAATCCGTGATCTTTTTCACATTCTACCACAGTAATGGGAATTATTTCAAAATGCACATCTGTTTCAAAATTGCCTTGAAATGTACCCATTAATTTTATTGTTGTTCTATCAAATTGCTTCAATTGGATGCTGCTTTTTTTAATTTAGGCCGTCTCAATTTGACTCCAAAATGTTTTGGTATCAGCATGACTTCACTGCCTGTATCAACTTGCATGTTAAATATTTGGCCATTTATCTTTATTTTTTTCTCTCCTCCTTTTTTGCATATTCACTGTAAATATTTCAGCCTCTTCTTTGGCGTAGCTTGGTATTTTTTGTATTGTTTCTATTTTCTTTTCGTATTTGCATACATTCTGAAAATGGTCTCTTTTTTTTCCTTTTTTTTTTTTCAATTTGAACATACTTTTCCTAACGCAGGATATTTGTACTTGTCTCTCTTGTAATTTTTTCCACAGTATCTACATTTAATTATAGACTTGGTCATGCTCGTCCTGTATGCCTCAAATTCTTCTTTTGGTTGATTAAATTCCTTAATCAACTGTAACTGTTGTAAAAATTCAATGCTATCCTCCAAACCCATGTTACAAATTTGTAAAGCTTCCAGTATTTTTCGTTTGTGGTTCTGGTCTTGCAAAACTTCATTTATTCTGAGAAGAATTAAATCATCTTCTATAGTCATTTCCCGAGTTCCCAACTTTTAAAACACACAGTACTTAACACATTCTTTTAATCTATGTAAGTACTGTACAATGGATTCATTTGGTGCTTGTCTTGGTCTCTAAAAACTTGGTTCTTTCAGCAACGACCAATCTTTTCTTTAGTCTTACGTTCTTTTTTATAACTTTGACAATTTCTTCAAATGTCATTTCCTCTAATTCGCTTGTGTAACACATTGTCAAAAATTTCTTCACCACTTTACACCCAGCAAGAAATCCATTATCTTGTTTTCTTCTCCTTCGGTCTTGGTATCTCTCAATTGTTTTACTCTTGCAAATACCACAAATGTTCTGATCCATGTCTCTGTGTTCGGGATCTTCCAGCGCATTCAAGGATCCTATCAGTGATGCCATTGTTACGTTGTCTGTTTCTCTTTGATTAATATCAATCATAGCACAGTTCTCCACGTTACATTTAGCAAACAAGTTCACTGATGATTGCCTTGTTCACCCTCTGATCTCTATTTATGCTGTCATTCTCATTTGCATATGACACTACAGTCAGTTCAACATGTTTACTTGAGACCTTTCTCTTTGATTTCATTTTTGATCTTTAATTTCAAGCTCCAGAGAAATGCCAGTATTTTATGTGTAAAACAAAATGATGTTTTCTTAGTCTGATTCTCACTCGAAGAAGCTGAGGCAATTCCTTTAAATTTAATTCACCCTAGCATTCACCAGTTCACTTAGACTCCATTGCAAAGAAAAAAAAAGAACACACCTTCTACTTGATGGGTCACAATCTGTGCTGGCCCAAGCAGGAGTCTGTTTACCTGAACCAAACACTAAAGTGATAATTTAAATGTGTATGAATCAAATTCAAAATGGTAAAAAACAGCAACCTGAATTTCCACAACAGAAACTACCAAGAAGCTATATTTATTGGCCTTATTTGTTTTTTCCTTAAAAGTATTTTATTCACTTAAGCACCATGGATACTTTTGAACTTGAAAAAATTGATGAAAAATGAAAAAAACTTTTTATAAAGTTTCTTGTCAAAGCTTGCATATATTTTGACCACTTCTGTCTTTTTTGTTTTTAATTCTTTGCAGGGTTCAAAACTACCTCCAAAAGCAGCTTCAGAATCTGGAAACTCTAAAGAGAAAACTGTTTTAGGAAAAAAAGAGAAGAGCCAATCTCTGATTGAAAATGCTCGTGAACGATTAGTAAAGTTAGAAAGGAATATTGAACGGCGATATTTGAAACCTCCATTGTGTAAAAAGTGAGTAGAAAGCATTGGAAATTATTATCTTTTTATGCAAGCAATGTCAGATATGTATTGGATAGAAATAGAGCATTTTTGTTTTAATTATGAAAAAAAAAATCACATATATATTCTCTCTTGGAAGATTATAATACTAAGTTCATTATCATTTGTCACATGAATGATTTGAATTTATTCAATGTCATTTGCTTGACTCATGGTATAAATATGCATAAAAGTAATTCATAATAATCTGAAGTAAAGGAACAATTACCTATTCAAACTGTTTAATTTATTTTGTTATTTATTAACTTTTGAATTTATTGAATGAAAATTAATTTTACAGAAAATTTATCAATAGTCAAATGAAACTTTTTAAATATTGATGAAACAACAAAAATAATCAGTTTTTTGTTAGTAGGACTGATATTATTTGTTAATACTTTTATTCTACATTGATTCACTTGGACTGGTTGCCTCATTATTTTGGATGTTGTACCTTCCACAATTCCTCAGGTGTTTGTTACTCTCAATAGCCTTCTTGAAATGTTGAACATAAATTTTGATTCAAGTTACAGATCACATTTAATGTCTTTTCTAGGGAATTTCAAAATTAATAATAAATTTTTTGATTTACATCTACAATGAGCTGCTACACTGTCTGATTTAGAAATGGCTCACCTGAAGCAAAACAACTAAGCCAAGTCCTATAGGAAGCCTGCCTAGGCACTTTTATTTTTTTTTTTTTTTTTGTTGAAAAACTTATATTTACCTGTTCTTTCCTAATTAGTGGCTCTTATGATCAGCTTATTGTGTTATTTGCATTGTTTTTCTCTTATGTTGTTCTGTATTTTATTTTGGTAGCTTTGGATAGAATTTGGTATGCCTCTTTTTTTTTTCTACATATGATGAGCCATACCTGATTTCAGAGTATCACTTTTTATTATTTCTCAAGCCCTATTCCCTAAGTCAGATGTTACTGAATGTAACAAACAATTGAGGGAGTTTGAATGATATTGAGATATAAAAACAAGGAAACTGATCCAAATTAAATATTAGAGTAATGTTACCTTGTCTCAGATATGAAATGATTTTAAAAACAATTTCTTGTCAAAAAGAATTTTTTTTTCAAAGATAATTATTTTTTTTAATCATTCTGTGGTTAATTGTTTGACGTTGTTACTTGCATTGTTTACTGTAATCATGTAGCCTTGTAATATTATTGTTTTTATAATTTGTTTGCTCTAATATGCAAATATTAATATAGGTACCTCCATAAATTTGGTATACATAAGGTTTAAAATTAATTTTTAAAAATGAAAAAGCTTTTTTGAAACTTTCATTTTAGCTTTAAAATTTACTATTTCCAGTCAGCAAATTACTCTGTATTTCAAATAGAAATTATATTGATTGAAATTGATTATTTTTTTCTTAAGTAAAATCAATAAAAATCAGCCATTTTTTTTTTTTTACACATTTGTAAACAAAAGTTAATTCTCAGTTTTAAAAATCTTGCAGAAATAAAATATATATTTCTGAGATGATATATGAGGAAAATTAGCAAATTTAAAGTTAAATTAATCTGATTTGAAACATTACTTATAGCATAAAATGTTATATACAAACATTTCTTAACTACAGGATCCTATTTTTCTGATGTGTTGATTGATTTAATGACAACTGAACATGTTCATAGTTGAGCAAATGATAAAGTTTATAAAGGTTAACCGTTAAAACATGTGACTTTTTTAATGGTAGATTTATCAGTTTGTACATCCATACTTCAGAAATTCTGCATGTAATCATACATACAAAAACAAATTGAAATTCTTTTAAAAAATATTCTGGGTCATCAGATTGTAATAAGCTTTACAATATATTGATTAGTAAATATAGCTTTTCTTAAAAACAATATTTCTTAAGAATTATCACACTGAAAATTAATTTTAAAAAATTTAAAATCTTTATAAGTTATTTAATTTAAAATTGTGAAATAATGAAAATAAATCTTGTAAAAATTCATTTTTCATCAGACAATATTGTCTTTAATATATATTATTCATAAAAGCAATTAAAATCTTCTCTAATTCAATAATATCTTAGTTTTATTGAGTTTTTTATTTTTTAATTCAGAACAGATTTTTGCTAAGATGGTCTGATTTTACAAAAAAATTTGATTTAAATTCTTCAAAAAATTCTACCTTTAACTAATATAGTCTCTAAAAATTATCATGTTGAATTTCTCAAGTTTTCATAAAATTAAGTAAAGGGCTGAATGTAAAAGGAAAAAATATTTTTATGAAGATTTTCTAATAAAAAAATTTCAAAAATAATTTCATTCATTTTTGAATAAGTCCTGAAAATTGCATTAAAATCCAACAATTATTTGATTTTTGCAGGAATTTTCAAATTAACGTGTCTATCACTGCAAAAAAGAGGCTTAAATTTGCTATGCTAAAAGTCAGTACAACTGCCGACGCAAGAAATACAAAATTTTTAATCAAAATTTCAAATGTTCTAAAAAGGAGTAAAAAATTTAATTAAATAATTAAAAAATACTTTGATCCTTCCTCTTAATAATAATAATAATAATGTAATGATTTTGATGATAAAACTGTTTTGGAGCATGTTTTCATCATGGTATGTTGATTTTTTTTTTTTTTTTTTTTTTTTTTTAGAGTTTTCATGCAGATACCTATATTAATATGTTATGATATAAAGTAGCCTGTCTATGACTTTTCTATAAATATTTTCATGGTAATTGTTCTGATGAGCTTTTCTCTTAAGTATCTCGACTTTATGAATTTAAATACAATACTAGATTGGCAGGTAGGTTTCATTTTACAGTTGAAATTGTAATCATAAGTTCTATGCTATTAATTTCTCCTCTTGCATTTCTCACATGTGAAACTCTCTTCCAGCTTATTGCTTTCCAATCAAAAAATTTAAATTTAATGTCAGTCATCATTATATCCTTGAACCATGTTCTTTTATTGTTCTCTATCTTGAATAATGATTTTTCTTGGATTTGATTCTTTCACTCTCAGTAACCCCCTTGTGCCTTAGTGGCTTTATTACCTTGCTTAGGGTGGAGTAATTAAAAAAGGGAGTGGTAAAATTGGAAAGTGTAGTAGTTCTATTTTCCTGGGTACAGTGAATGATTATTATCATATAATAAATAATTATTATTTAATAGATAGTTCAAATTATTGTGGCTTACTATTCTTTCTTACAGCATCCAGATCAACTTGGCTCATATCACTCTGCCTGGAGACAACCACTCTAGCAATTGCCATGACAACAGTAAAGATGAGGAAGAGGACATTCCACCAGGATTACTTACCTGGCGCAATGCCGTCCAATCATCCTTGTCAGCTGCCCAGTTAACACTGTGTGCTAATTTGTTGACCAATTCAATAGCATGGGAGAAATCAATAATGAAAGTGGTGAGTAACAAAAAACAAGAAAAACCTGAAAAGGACTGTTCGATGAGAGTGTAAAAATTACATAGTAATAGCTCTAAAAAGGGCTTGACAGCATTCTTTGAGAGTTTAACAATCAAATTGTAGTAGCCTTAAAAAGGACTGGAATATGTTCCCTGAGAGCAGAACAATCAAATAGTGGTAGTCCTAAAAAGGGCTTTTTTCGTTTATGCACAGCAAGAGACAGTAGTATACCAGAGACATGGTAATGGCTTCTAATAAAATGGATACAATCTAATGCTGACAAAAGAGAAATAGACAGTCAGTAAAACTTAACCAAAAGGAAAAATATGTGAAATGCATCACTCGTATAAATAATGTATGGAAACAGGGGCAAACTGGAAGGACTGAAGTGTTACAGAATTTATGACTATGTGCAGACATGTGAAGAGCCTACAACACCATTCTGTAGACAACATTTTTAGTTTTTTCCGATTGAAGTGAAAGGGAATAAATTTGTTTTGCTTTCCACTCTAGAAGAATCAGCATATATCTGTCCATAGGAGAATCATGGCTCACATAAATATAGTGTTTAAAATAATGAAATCTTATATTTTTCCCAAGCTGTTGTTGTTTATGACTAAAAAAAAAAAAAAAAAAAAAAGAAAGAAAATCAGTGACATTTAAGAAAGTCATTTAACATTTTATGTTCTTTTCTTTGAGTGTTTGAGTCAAGAGATTTATTTTCTACCCATTCCTTCAGAATGGGTAGAAAATAAATGAAAGATTTGTTTTTTATCCATGCATTCTCTGTAAAAGTCTTTTAAAAAGTTACTCATTTTCTTTCTCTTTTTTAGTCATGAACAACGTCAGCTTGAGAAAAATAAACAATTTCATTATTTTAAATAAACACAAATACATACACACACAACACATTTTTTCGCCATCTATATGCATAGTCAGATATTTTTTGAAACATACTTTCATGAACATTTTTCAATTGTCAATAATATATATATTAATAATAATAAATATTTTTTCCTCAATATTTATTATTAATATAAATTATAGCATTGTTATACATCGAGCAGTACTCCATATGATGAATTGGGATCAAATATGGATTAGAATCCAACAATGATAGGATATAATAGTGTGTTAGATACACTTTATTTATTATATCACCAACTTTTATAAAATCCATAGTTAAAGAAGTCAGTACAACTGCTGACGCAAGAAATACAAAATTTTTAATCAAAATTTCAAATGTTCTAAAAAGGAGTAAAAAATTTAATTAAATAATTAAAAAATACTTTGATCCTTCCTCTTAATAATAATAATGTAATGATTTTGATGATAAAACTGTTTTGGAGCATGTTTTCATCATGGTATGTTGATTTTTTTTTTTTTTTAGAGTTTTCATGCAGATACCTACAACTACAACTGGTGTTACTTAAATTCTTTCACTCTCACACAAAACATCCTCAGGTCAACATATGGACAATCAACAAACATAAATGGAAATTCCAACCACACACACACACACACGCGTGTGTGTGTGTGTACACATTATCAACGAATCCAGCACACATGAATTATACACATGAACACTATTTGACAGGACAAAATACACATGGGGTCTGCTTAACCAATGAAAAACAAACAACACAAAAATAAAAATATCAGAATTTTCTTTTCTCTCTCATATTTCATTTTCTGATGAAACTTAAATAATAGTGCATGTTAAATTTATAAATATTTCTATTTATTCCTTAACCTATCAGTTTATTTATATATATATATATATATATATATATATATATATATATATATATATATATTACACAATATATTGAAATTAGTGTGTTAGTGTGAGCTCCATTTGAAATGTGTGATTATGATCAACTTGAATCTAGCCAGTTCTATTACAAGGACACTTGGTTGAAGCAGTTAGACAAGATTAGTAATCTTATCACTTCTAATCATATTAATTTTTTTTATCTTTCAGCTTTGCCAGATCTGCCGTAAAGATGACAATGAAGCAGAATTATTACTGTGCGATGGCTGTGATAAGGGTTACCATACATACTGCTTCAAGGTACTACATTTTCTAGATTCTTTCATAATTAATCAAAGTTTTTCTTTAAATAAGACAATTTTATAAATTCTTATATCTGTTTCTAATAAACATTAATTTTTCTTTATTTTCAGATTTTTAGGTTTCACATCTCTTAAAAGATAATTTTATATTCATAAAATCTCAAATAATCAAAGAATCAAGTTAGTCTAGATGTCCAACAATGGATCAAATTAATAATCTAATGTCTTGTAAATTGGATCACTTAGTCTAGTGTTTTTATTGATTTCCACTTGCCTTTTGCTGACCATGTAATTTTATGACTTTTTCTTGTTTACCAGATTCTGGAACCTTTCATGATCAAAAGATGAAAATTAAAGAAAATAATACAAAAATATCTCTTGAATAGTTTCACACTTAATCTTCCTAGTCAAAGATAAACCATTAAAAATGGTGCGGGTTTTAAGTTTCTATCTTGCAATATTTTAGGTTAATCCATAGTGAAAAGAAATAAATACATGCTATTTTTAATTGCATTAGTGAATGCAACAAATTTGACTGAAATATGAATATGGCTAACTGATGCCACTTTCCTCATCAATAACTATTACACTACCTGTATATCCACTTCTTATTTGACTTGTGTTAAATAAAATTCTGTTTGGTATTAATTTATTCTAACAACTAAAATTTTTTTTTATTTTATTGAAAAAAAATTGTGCTTTCCCAATTGAAAGATGACTTTTTCTTATAAACCCTACTTATGTACATAATTTCTGCCTTTTTTTTTTTTTTTTCCTCATCCAGCCAAAAATGGACAAGATTCCTGATGGAGACTGGTATTGTTATGAATGTATCTCAAAAGTAAGCATTGAGATTTTTTTTTTTCTTAAATTGACATTATTTTCTCCCCAATCATCAAACTATTATAAATATAATTGTTTTAGAGTTATAAAATGAATTTTGATGTTAAATTGCCAAGGGAGATTGACAAAAGTAATATCTAAAATTAATCACAATCATACTATAGGAAGACACATTTGCTTGGATTATGAATTACAGGTATAGTAAAAGATAAATTTGAAAAGGTTAATTGCAAAAGGCATTTAATTACAATAAATTGAATTGGTGCTTGGAATTGTTTGGGTTTGAATCCTTGACATAACAGCGTTTTAACTAATAGGATCAAATGAAACAAACACCACACACTCCTCACCTCCAACTGGAGAAATGACAAAGAAAATAAACCTTGTGGTTCAGGCTAGGTTAGTTCAGTAATAGGATTTTGTTGTCTTTTAATGCTATCAACTATTTCCATCTTGATTATCTATTGGGGTCAAGAATTCAGCTGATAAAAGCAAGAAACTGTGAAGATGAAGTTAGCAAAACCCTTACCTTATTGTTTTGCTCATATTCAAACCAGTTTGTAATTTGACACTTGAAAGAAAAAGGTGAACAAGCTTCTTACCATGTTTTCTTACAGGAACTTATCATCAAATGTGCCAATCAAACTTTCACTGATGAAGCAGAAAGCTATGATTGCTTGAAAGTCTACCACCATCTGATTAGCTATTCATTCATCTAGACTGTCTTACTTTGTGTATCTAGGAAGAATTCAGATGTTATTTCTGGCTAATTTGTATTCGATGATGTTGTAATGTTTATAAGGTGATAATGAGTTCATCTAGTATTGAAAGTGGAGGAAATAGATTAGCCAAGTGGCAAGATCAGGTCATTCATATTCCAGCCCCATTAAGAAAAGCTTTGTCAGTCAAGAATGGAAAAAGCGAAGATAAATAACGTTTAACAAAGGTTGAGTAGGCATAAAAATCTTTCATGACTTGGTTATTAATGAATAGATCCAAGAATTCAACTTGAAACAACCCTGGTGAGACGGTGTGAGTGACCTATTTACATATGAAGTCACAAAGGCTGTAAATAGCTACAGCTATTACTCATGAGTCAATTGAGTGCATACTACTTCCCATGTGTCAGTAATACTATGCTACAATGGTGTCGCTGATATCTAAAGCACTGAATGAACAATTATCATTGGATAATTGTGATTATGCACAAGCATGGCTTAGGATACTAGCAGCTAAAGCTAGAACAGAAAAACTGAAGGATTTAAAATCAGTTGGAGGAGAAAACCAAATAACTGATCTCTTCTTGGCAACTGCTGGTTGTGAGGCCATTATAAAATTATCAGCAATTGCACACCCAAGGCAGTTGGAGGAAGTGACATTTGATACTATACACCAAAACTAAGAGCAAAAAACATAGCACCCAACAAAAAACTTGTGAATGCATATTTCATGAATATTTCTTAAAAAGTAAATGAACCAATTATTGAATATGTTCTTCATTTAAAACAGGTCTCTAAATATTGTGAATTTGAGAAACTGGGATCAGAAAACCAGTCTGTCAAAGAGGATTTGATTGAAATGAAATTGGTAAACTTCCTTAAAAATGAGGAGTCTCGGCAATTGACTTACAACTGGGAAAGTTGTCTTTAGAACAGTGTGCCAAATTTGTTCAGCAACAAGAATTAATTCGAAAATTTAATAAAACAAAAGTTGCAGATCTGGACACATATGCGATAAAGACAAAAAGATAAAATAAGGTTTACTTTTTGTGGATATCAACATCAAAGAGAAAAACAAAAACATTTGACATATAAAAAAAATGTGAAAAGTGTTTCAAAATGAATCATTTTAAATGTATGTGTAAATCCAAAAAGAAAAACGTAAAGACGGTCCAACAAAATGTAGAGGAAATAAGTATGGACATCTCCTGATGACCCAGATTCAATGGGTACAATTTCTGCCCTAGATCAGATTTCCCAATCAGTAAGCAAAATGCTCTGATTTAATTTCGCTATTCAACTCTACTCCAATTTCACACTATGATAATAGAAAGAAATGGAAATGGGATATTAGTGCGTGCAGATAAAGTTAGATTGCAACACAATAGTGATGAAGAAATGTACAGTGGGCCTGAAAATAATGAAGGTGAAACTGTCACATCAAGGTAAGACAAACTAAAATATGAAATCAATTATAGACTCTGAAGATGAACAAGTTGGAGGAATACTCCTATGAAAAAAGAAAAAGGTTAAGATCTTCCATATCTAGACAATTTCTTAGGGTGAGAGAGAGAAAAAATAGGAGAAAAAATCTCCCAGAAGAAGCACTAGATAAAACCTCTTTGGTACAGGGAGATAAGGTGACTCATTTACATATGACGTCATAAAGGCTATAAATAGCTACAGCTATTACCCATGAGGTCATCATCATGGCTTGCCTTCACAAAACTAAGATCACAAAAGGGTCTGTACATGTCACTGCAGGCATGTTTGTGACTGATAAATCCAATGCAGGACAGGCATACAGTCATGGTTGCAGCTAAAAGTCCAGCCTGGGCTCGATTACATACCATTGCAGTAATTCCTCCTCTGCTTTATGTTCCTGAGAGCAGCCCTTGCAGTTATTATCAAAGGAGACAGCATGATCGGTAGTGACATACCTCAGCTTTGGTTGAAAATTGGCAATGTTTAATGTGACAAGCAACAAAGTATTTTTTCAGGAAATCTTTGAATCGCTTCTTTGGTGCCTCTCTGCTTCGATAGCCAGTGGAGAGCTCACCGTACAATAAAATTTTAGGCAGGCAATGATTCTCCATCCTGGAAACATGTCCAGCCCAGTGCACCTGGGTCTTCAGCACCATGGCCTCAATGCTGGTGATCTTTGCCTGTTCAAGAACTTCAGTATTGGAGACGAAGTCACTCCAGTGTATGTTAAGGATCGTGAAGAGTGGAACCATTTGAGGAGTCACAGGTGGTGTTAGTAAGTGACCCATGACTCTGAGCCATATAGGAGAGTGGTGAGGATGATAGCTCTATACACTCTGATCTTGGTGTCCTTCTTCAGGTGTCTGTTGTACCACACACATTTGTACAGTCTGCCAAATGCAATGTTTACCCTTGCCAGTCTGTTGTCGACCTCTTTGTTGATCCCAGCATCTGATGTGATTGTACATCCAAGGTAGGTAAACCGATGGACTGCCTTCATCTCAGTCGTGCCAGTGTTGATGTGGGTAGGTTGATACTCATCCCAAGGCACAGACTAGTAGAGTACTTCTTTCTTCTTTAAATTGACTTCAAGCCCAAAAAGTTTGGCAGCCTCTGTAAAGCAGGAAATGGTCTGCTGCCAAGCTCCTTCTGTGTGGGCAACAAGGACAGCATCGTTAACAAAGCAGAGGTCTTGGATAAGTTACTCTAGGGTCTTTGTCTGGGCTTTTAATTGTCGTAGATTAAACAGGCCATCATCAAGACTGTATCTGATGTAGGCTCCATCCTCATCATCAAGATCTGTTGTGGCTTGCTTGCGTATCATGCTGAAGAAGATAGTGAAGAGAGTCAGTGCCAGAACACAACCCTGCTTTACATTGTTGGCAAGCAAGAAAGGCTCTGAGAGATCACTGTTGTGTCTAACTTGGCCATGCTGATCCTTGTGCAGTTGGATGGTCATGTTCAGGAACTTTGGGGGACAGCCATGTCGCCCCATGATATGCCATATTCCTCTTTTGATCACTGTGTTGAATGCCACATAAGCCCCTTATTTTGCTCCCGACACTTCTCCTGCAGCTGCTCCTGTTGGTTCTGAAGCCGCATTGACTCTGGAAGGTGCTGTTTCGTGATGGTTGATACTAGTCTGTTCGGCAGAACTCTTGCAAAGATCTTTCTTGTGATGGAGAGCATAGTAATCCATCAGTAATTGGGGCAGTTAGATTTTTCCCCTTTGTTCTTGTACAGGTTAATGATGACTGCATCGCAGAGATCTTGTGGTATTTTTCCCTGCTCCCAACAGCAGCAAAAGAGCACATGGAGTTTCATATGCAACACTGGACCCCCATGTTTCCAGATTTCAGGTGGGATTCCATCAACTCCTGTTGCCATGCAGGAGTTGATGGGATCCCACCTTCAGCTGCTTTATGGCTTTGATAGTCTCTTCAATGCTGGGCAACTCATCCAGTTTCCTTTTTACTGGTTGTTGGGGAATGTGGAGAATTGCTGGCTCCTGGATTGAGCAATTAGTGCTGAAGATTCCTGGAAATGCTCTGACCAACGATTTAGGATGGGCACCTTGTTTGTAAAGAGTATCTGACTGTCTGCACTGTACATAGGACTCTGAACCTGATACATAGGGCTGTATACTGCCTTTAAAATTTCATAAAAGCCCCTGATGTCGCCAGTATCTGCCTACAGCTGAATTTTTTTTCAGCGAGTTTGGTCCAACACTTATTCTTAATGTCTTGAAGCCTGTGATGGAGGTTACGGCATACAAAACGGGATGCAGCTTTCTTTACAGGACAAGCTGACTGAGCTAAGATTGCTTAATTGGTTGATCTCTTCCTCACCAGCAGTTCTTGGATTTCCATGTTGCTCTCATCAAACCAGTCTTTGTTCTTCCTTGAGGAGAACCCAAGGACTTCAACAGATGTCTGCAGAATGCTAGTTTTGAGTTTTTCCTAGTGTTTCAGGAGAGGAATCTGCAGGGATGTTTGCATCTTCAGGCCTTGACTCAAGTACTGCTTGTAAGTTAGCTTTCACTTCATCTGATTTAAAACTGCCAACCTTGAACTTTTTACGTAGGGCCTCTCCTTTTTTTGGCTTGAGTTTAAAGTGAACAAGGCGATGGTCAGTATGACAAGCTGTACTGGGCATCACTCTTGTGAGTGTGAGCGCACTATGACATAGTCAGTGAGGTACCAATGTTTAGACTGAGGATGCATCCAGGTTGTTTTCAATCATTTTTTTCTGTTGATGGTGTTCGTTATGACAAGCTGATGTTCTGTACAGAACTCTAGTAGCAAGCACCTGTTGCCGTCACAGTTACCAACACCATGTCTCCCAAGAACTCTCTTCCAGGCTGAAAAAAAAAAAAGAAAAACTGGAGTACAAGACTCCCAGAGTAAAAAAAGCTTCCTCTGCCCTTTAGACAAGTCTTGTATTTAATCCTGCAGGGTGACTAGCCACCCTCCTTCCAGAAAAACCCTGTTGGTGTACTGGTTTAGTTGCTGATAATCCAATTATGAAACAGGTAGTACTGGGTTACATAGTACCAGTAGCACTGACCCATGAGGTAGTTGAGTGCTTACTACTTCCCATGATTCAGTGGAAGAATAAGTTGCTATTTTTTTTTTTTTAAGTAAACTTATGGTGGCGAAATGATTTGACTCTGATTATGCTCTGCTGAGATTTTTAATCATAACATGGCTGAGTAGGTTGCTGGTATAATCCAACCCACTTCCTACTTGTGATCTAAAATAGTTTTGGGTCTCTTTCTTATTGTAGTCAAGTTCAGCTAAAAAGCAACAAAATAAAAACAAAATGAACAAAGAAGTATACTGCAACTAAATTGCCCCCTCCAATACTTTTACTCCATGAAGATACAGAAAGAGTACTGTTTGCAACCGATCAACACTGATCATCACCAACTCCATCACTTACCTCTGGAACATGTTGACTTGCCTGTATTATTAACAGATTAAGATAATTTGTTTTTTCTTTGCTGTCTTTTTTTTTTTTTTATAGTTTTTGTTTTTTACACACATTTGTTTTTATTTTATTCTGGATTGTATATGAAGTTTTATTATTAGATGAAAATACTTAATTTTTTTTTGTTTATTTGAAAATCTGATTTTGTTTCTTGTTTTTAAAAGAGATAATTGAATCTGATTTTATTTCATTTAAGGCTACAGGTGTCCCATGTTGTGTTGTCTGTGGCAAGAAGAATGGTAAATTGGCTTTATGTGATGAATGTCCTCGAGCTTTTCACATAGACTGCTTGATTCCTCCATTACAAAGGTAAGCTCATAATTTTTGAATTTGTGAAATTTTTTTCATTTGGGCAGAAAAAAAAAATTTCTCTTTTTAAAATGTAAATTCATGCTTTTCTAAAATAGCCGAGGATCAAGAATCATCTTTTCTCAAATAGTCTTAATGTCAAATGAATCTCTTTCCAGAAAAAGAAAATGTTTGTTGATGTTTTTTTCCACACTTGACTAAATAACTGATTCATCTATGGATAATCGACTTCATTTAATAAACAGATACATAGAGGCAAAATTATCTGATTTTTGTTTATTTTAACTTTAGATAATAGAAGAAAATAAGCAACTTTTCAGTATATTATACTTTTTTATTTAAGAAAAGTAGAAATGTAACAAAACCCTTAGACTTATGTAGTCTGTGGAAAAGGTACTCAGAGTGATCAAAATTGCTAAAAATGGTATACAAAGTTTGACAATATTCCATAATTGGATAGACCAGTTGAAACTGAGTAATTATATGATGTGTGAGATAGGAAAAGTGATCAAAATATCAAAGTCTTGATGTGTGGCTTCCACATAAGTGTATTCTGGATTATATTCCCATGAGTCATTCATAATGACAATGTTCTATTTTTTAAACAAATTGTTAAAGGTGATGAAAAGTAGATACTTTATAACAATATGAAATGTAACAAATAAAATTATCCACCACTAACAAAATTCAAAGAAAGTGCTGCTATGACATTGGAAACTAGTCTTCTATGATGAGCAAACAACTGATGCAACAAGCATTGCACCCAATGATAGCAGCTGACAAAATATGATTCTCTAGAATTACGAAAAATGCTGTAATGTTCCATCTTGTTTTTTGTAGGCAAAAATCACCCAACTTTCATTTGTCTGCCACATTTTGTAGTTATTGCATTCTTGGATTACTATTTATTTTAGTCATTACGGAAGAATTGCCTAAATTAGTACCCTAGGTTGTTCTTAGAAACTTTTATTTTCCTCAGTTATCTGAAAGAGGGAATCTTATAGCAGAATGAAATGGTAAATATGCAATGAAAATTAAAAAAAGCATTTACTTTTTTTCTTTAAACTGAATGGTTTCACTTACCCAATACTAAAGTAAAGAAAAAAAAAAGTGTATTGGAATATTTTTTGAAAGTAATGATTACTATGAGCCACACTGTCAGCCATCTTTGTGTATTTGTTGATTATTTGCAATCAATAAATATTCAGAAGAAAGAATCATTCAACTGTGAGAACCTTTTTAAAAAAAGTAAATAAGTTTGGAGATATAAAATCTTTAAGAGGCATGCTGTTTGCTGCAAAGGCATTGTTTCTTTTCATTGATTATTTTAAACTTTTTTTTTTTTTAATTCTCATGTAAGTGAAAGCAAAAATATTTTCACTGTGATTTTGCTCAGAAAATTAACTGTTATGTCACATTTTGGTGTCATTAAAAAAATAATTTATATTTCATTTTCAGATTACCAAAGAAATGGTTATGTGCATCTTGTATTGCTGAAAAGGTAAACAAACTTCTTTTTTTGTTTGCTTAGGGTTTTTTTGCCTTAGCTTTTCTTTTTTCTTTTATTTGTTTTTAATATTCTGTATTTTATTTTGACATGTCATGACAGTAAATTAAAAATTTCTGTAATAAAAAAAAAAAAAATGAATTTCTGTCTTAGTTTTAAAAAATCTATCTAAGCTAATTGTTTTGATAAAGTCTTGTTCAAAAGGTAGAGAAGTGGGAAAAGCTTCTTTTTTTAATATATATTCACAAAGAAAGAAGTAATTAGCAACATATTAGTTATCCTGATATGATCATTTTTCATTTTAATTAATGTCCATTTGTATTGATATTTATTCATTATTACTAATAAATTATTACACAAAGTCAATATACCCCCACTCTCTCTCTCTCTCTCTCTCAGAAAATACTTTATTTACCACTAGTGATATCAAATTGAAGTTGCTCCCCCTCTCACACACACACACACTAGACAATCAGTAGTCACTAAGCTTCTTTAGGTCTATTTAATAAAAGAAAATTTTTAATTCTAAAGTTGTATATTGATTGGTATTATCAAAGCCACTGTTGTTTCATGAAACTTGATGTTTGTTGTTATTTAAGGGAAATAAAAAGTCAAAACGGGGTCGGAAGAAGAAGGAAGAAAGCAGCAAAAAAGAGAAGAAAATTTCTGAAAGCAATAAAAGTGATGAAGAGAAAAAGAAGGAGCAACATGCTAAGGATATGTCTCTTTGCAAGTAATTTGTTTTTTCTGTTTGTAGCTTGATTTCATGGTTTCTTTTACATACTGATTTTTAAACCAAAAGCTACAATATTTTTTCCAACTTATAACTTGAAATATTGAAATAAATAGCCTTCTTAACTTGTATGCAATTAAGTAATATTATCAGAACATTTGTTAATATTTCCAATTTTTACTCTATAGTTCACTTTTCAGTGTCAAGTCTATTGATCCTTGTACTAAAAAGATGCAAAGTTAAAAACATTAATTTTATAAAGAGAACAGTGAACAAAACATACAAAAGTTAAGAAAACTCAAAGCACTGAAGACTTAAAAACTGTAGGTACCTCCATGAGATTGCTAAAAAAAAAAGAGTATAGCATGATGAAAAGGACGCCAAACTTGACGAAAACAATTTTATCGTCTAAATGTTTATTTTTAAGAGGAAAGATCAAAGTATTTTGGGGTATTTTTTTTCCATTTTTTTAATCGTTTCAAGTTTTTTCAAAACTTATTTTAAGAAAATCAGAAATTATAATGTTTATTTTTAAAAATATTTTGAACCAAACTTAACCACTTTTTTCCATTTATAAAAAGATGTAATTTGAAAATAAAACAAAGCAGGTCATAAACTTTTGAAAATCACTTGACAGGTGATGAATGACATATTGACGGATTCCGTGAGGATAATTTGTTCTACGGAAGGAGAAAAGTGAAATAATTTACATTTAAGTGAACAAATTATTTACCTTGTTATTTTTTTAAGGAAAACTTTCAGCTCTAATTAATTTTTTTTTTTTTTTTGTTTTTAGCTTTCTTTAATTTTTTTTTTACGATGCTTTATGGAAAATATATTGCTTTATGGAAAAGAAATTAAAATAAGACTGTTAAGAGTGAGATTAAATTTCATATTTCATAAGAAAGGTATCTAATTAATTTATAGGTACCTTTCTTATGAAATTTTATCAGAAGTGTACATAAAATACTATAATTTTATGTACATTTATTACATTTTACTGTGTTATTTGTATTTCCATTCATTTTATTATTAATTTTGATATTTCATTTATGGAAAAATGTCATAACTGAGATTAATATAAAAATATGATCATATAAATTTCATAAGATGATACTGATACTTGTAGGTATCCTCAGTTGAAATTGAAAAATCAAATTAACTTCTCCACATGTGTCAAAAAAAAAGTAAAGGCCTTAACAGCGAAGAACAATGCTTAACTCAAATAACGCAACTTAATTGTATTCTGATTGGTCTTCCGTACTTTATAATTACAGCCCGATTATAAACACAAAATCACATTTTTTTAATTACTGTGGATCTTCTGATTAGTCAAAATGATACAATTTACAACACGCTAAAAAAAAAGATCTATCTCATAAGGAGACTTAGGAAACCTGATGCGGATTTTAACTAATTTTATAATATTTTAACAACTTAAATTTAAAAATCTATTATAATTAAGAAATAACAAATAATTGTATTAAAAATTCATTTTTGATCGAAAAAATGTTTTGCTTTCAGAAAATATTGTCCATATTCATAAAAACAAAACAAAAAGCAAATAAAAGCATTTGAAATTAAATAATATCTTTGTTTTATTGAGTTTTGTATGTTACAGTTCAGAGCTGATTTTCAGGTAGGGGGGCGAATTAAAAAACAAAACAAAAAAACGTGATTTGCATTCCTCAAAGTCTTGTGCTTTTAACTATTGTAATCAGTAAACCCGATGCAATTGAATTTTTAGCGTTTTCATAAAATTAGTTATCGGGAGAGGTAATATAAAAAAATAATATTTCTGCCATGACTTTAATAAAAAAAAAAAACATATTTATAATTTCGATCATCTGTGAATAGTTCTTGAAAGTTTCATTAACATCCCACAATTATTTATATTTTTGCAACATTTTCCAAATTAATGTGTGATACCAAAAAAAAAAAAAAAAAAAGTGCTAAAAATTTATGTTATTGACTAGATCCGTTGATACAAAGAAAAACGAGTTTTTTTTTTAATCAAAATTTAGAATGTTCTAGAAAGAAAGAAAAATTTAAAAAAAAACTTTGGTCTTTCCTCTTTATAATAACATAAACATTTAGACGATAAAATTTTGTTTTCGTCAAGTTTGGCGTCTTTTTCATCAAGCTATGCTCTTTTTTTAGCGATTTCGTGGAGGTACCTACTTAAAAAGTCTAAAAGAAGTTAAAAAATAGAAAAAATTTTTGAATTATGGAGGTACTGATTTCATTCTGTCTTATTTTTAAATTAATCATTCATTTTAATTTAAAAAATGAAAATAAAAAGTTTTTTTTTTTTTTTTTTTTTTTTTTTTTTTCAACAGAGAAATTTTTTGTTCAAAACTGAAAGAAAGTGAAATAAAAAAAATTTATTTTTTAAATGTTTTAAAAAAAGCAATTTCCATCATATAAAAAGTATATAAAGAAACCAATGGATTTCTATACAATGAGACTCAAACTCTAAGGGGCTAAAAAAATTTTGAAAAAAAACCAAAATGAAATATTTTCTCTCTAAAAGGAAGGCTATTTTTTTTTTTTTTCCTCTCTTTAACTATTTGGTAAGTCTGGCACATCATGTTGAAAATGCTGTAGTTTTATAATGAATTAGTTAGCTATGCAGTATTGTCTTAAACATTTCTCTTCTCTGAAAAGACTCTGCTCCAGTGATTTTTTTTTTTTTACAAATGGCAAATAAAGATTAAGATGCAAGAAATTACTTTTGAAAATTTTAGTTATTGTTAAAAATATTTAAAGAGATTTATTTTTTAAAAGAAGAAAATTAAGAAAGACAGAAGAAAACGATTGCATTTAAATTTTTTGAAGATTAATTTTAACTAGGAAGCAAGAAATCTCAAACTAAAAATTGTTAGAAAAAAGAACTTAATTGCATCTAACCATATTTCAAGTTTAAATGATGAGACCTTACTGCCAATCTAGTCTTTCCTTAATTTAAAGTCTAGGGTACCAAAGAGGAAAGCTAAATCAAAAAATTTCATGAAAAAAATTTATAGAAATTGATAAGGGAAAGCAAAATTCAGTAATATTTAAATTGACTGAATCCAAAATACTAGGTCAGGAAAATAACATTGCAGATTCTTCTTCCAATTTATCAAAATATAAACAGATAAAAATTTTAACAAAACCAGATTGACAAATTTAAAAAAGAAAGGATGAATGGTAGACTTAGGTTATTGAAGGTCATTTTTTTTGCTATGAATGGTGCATATAAATTGGGAAAGAAAGTAAGTTAACACATAGAAATTATATTTTTAAACATTATTTACAAAAAAAATTTACATTATAATGATTTGTTTTTTTAGTTAAAACATTATTTTTGAATTGCAAAAATTAATTCTTAATTCGTAAAAAATTGGTGATTCAAGAATTTTTTTTATTTTCAATTTTTTTTTGTTGAAGATTCTCAAAAAAGGAATATGAAAATCACTTTTGATACAAGCATAAAAATATTTTTTTCAATAAAGCATCCTGATGTTTTTGAATTTAAAAAAATTTTCAAGAAATATTAAATTATTTAAAATAAAATGGAAAAAATTTTTATCATTTTAAATTTCAATAACAATTTTAAGGCAATTTTTTATAAGCATTATATTGTTATACGTTTTATTTTTTATTTTTGTAGAAATTTGGGAGATAAATAGTAGGATAGGATTAAAAAAAATCATTATTCCCAAAATTTTAACAGTATTCAAAAAAAAAAAAGTTTTTAAAAAAAAAATAAATCTAAAAATAAGTTTTAGCTTTAAATATTAAAAAAGGAAAAAAAAAATTTAAAAAAAATCAATCAATAAAGCTGAAAAATATAGTTTTTTGAAGAAAAATAGTTAACCTATTTTTTACAATCTTGATTAAAGAAATCAATTTTTTTTTTTTTTTAATTTTTGGAATCTAAAAAATAAAAAATGATTAAATTCCTTATCCTATAAAATGGTAATATGGTTTCCAAAATGACGCTCTCCTTCAAATCAAACTAAAAGGATTTGAAATTATTTGTTTTATAAATGTGCTTACTTTTCTTTTTCCTGTTGAAAGTAATTTGGAGTAGTCAGTAATAAATTAATGAATAAAATTTATTAAATCCTCTTATAATTTTGTTCAATCATTCCATTTTCTTATTTATTTATTAAAAAATGTTTGTTTTTTAAAAATGTAATTGATAGATTTCAAAATATGCCTTTTAAAATATTTATTGTATTTGCACATCATAACCTCTGTCATATTTGCATTTATAACAAAAAGTAAAAGAAAAATTATGGAAATAAAAAAAAAATGTCTATGTAAAAAAAAATTCCTGAATTGAAAAAGATACGTTAGTAAAAAAACCAAATATTTAACAAAAAATCTTTAATTTATTTTTTTTAAAAAGAGATTTATAAAAAATAATTTTTGATTTAATTTTAATTTTTTTTTTTTTTTATATTTTTTTTTATTTTTTAAGATATAAATCAAAGGAACAGTTTGCTGCAGATGTCAACTTGATATTTGACAACTGTGAAATTTTTAATGAAGATGATTCTGAAGTTGGTAAAGCAGGCCACAATTTTTTTGAATTTTTTTAAAACGTTGGACTGAACAAATAAATTTTTTGGAAATACAGATGAAATATCATTTACCACAACCACCACCACCACCACCCTCATCATCATCATCATCATCATCATCTACAGTTAGTAAAGGAGGAGGGATAACAATTTTTTTAGGACTTCAAAAAAACAATTAAACAATTCTTTCTCCATTTTCTCTATCTAAACTAAAATAAATATCTTGAATTTTTCTTCAAACTCCCACTCCAAATTGTTTGTATTTTGCATATTTTCAAAAATGTTATGTGAATAATGATACAAAAATTACAATAAAAATACTAAATTTAATATAAAACCAATAATTTTTTAAATAAAAAATAATACATAAATTAATTTGTTTTTTTTGTAAATGTCTGGTGGCCTGTATACATTTAACTGTGTGTGTGTT